ACCATTTGGCCAAATCAGCTTGGATGGGTTTGTAAAAAATTTACAGTGCTCCAATAGTTTAGATATACAGGATTATAAAAATTAATGTCAACGCTTAATGCTGCATGGCTGCTTTTGGGGGAAAAGGTCCAGGGAACGGGGAAAATAAAAATAAAAATAAATAAAATAAAAATTTGGGGTATCATAATATTTCTCCAAAAACGTGCATGTGCAGTCTTCCCGCATAGATAAAACGGCGTCATTACCAAAATGAAATAAATGCCTTAAAACAAAAACAGCGCTCCGAAAACGCCGGGAACCTCGTAACTATTCCCATCTCCTAATTCATGATGTGGTGGCCTCATGTTTCACCACAGAGGCCACATCAGCCATGATCGTCGTGTCCGCCCCTGTCTTTCAGCTTCTAACTCTTCTTCAAGAAGATCGCGATCAACCTCATCCGCCAACAGTTCTAACTCAGCTTCGATCTCCTCGTCCATCCTACTCCGAACAGGATGTATAATATCGTCTCTCCCCAAAGGTCGTCCACCTTCACTGAAAACCATGGCTTCCCTCCGTCGCCGCCGCAGCGCTTGTTCTTCAGTTGTCCTTTCCTGACGTCGTCGCCCCTCCGTCCACGATGATAAGCCGGCGGTATCTTCACCACCAACCATCCAGACATCGCTATCACTACCGCTGTCATCATCACTATCACCAATTTCGTCATCATATATACTACCTGTATGCTCTTCCATTCTACTACCCATGAGCCCGTATTTCCGCAGCTGATTGATGCCCTCTTGGTGGGAGGAGAGGGTACCGACGATAGAACTCATTACCGCGTCATCTGTGCACCACGTTTTCGTTAAGAGGACCACGTCTACTCTTTTGGATTCGTCATGGATGACGCAGGGAAATGGATATTTCGAAAGCCATCGGCTGATAACGCCAGCCTTTAACGCAGCGGGGATGTTTTCTCTTAGGATAATGTCAAGAGTAATTAGGGCTTTCTTCTCGCCCTGTGGCCGTGTTATAGGAAGAATTGGTGAAACTGAATTGTTGTTCTCTTCTTTATGCTCTGGGAGAAAGTTACACAGACAATCGACAAGGGCAGTATAGGTGGGCAGGTCTTTCAGTCGGCTGGAGACTGACGAACGGGACACTGTGAGCGAGGCACACATAATTAGCAGGACTTACAAAGGTAGAAATGCAAAGGGATAAAATAACGAGGAACACTTACAAGACCTATTGGAGACCAAAAAATATAGAGCATTCAAAGCTTTGTTGCGGAGAGATGGATCCTTGCTTGAGAGGTCTTCCAGAAGTAGATCCCGAGTAGATCCTTTAGTCGATCTTTCGGATATAATCCTTAATGCCCTACATAGTTGTTAGAGTCTCTACCTCGGAGCATACATTCATCATTCCTCATTCCTTACGCTACTCGGAGATCGAAACTCGTGCTTTCAGATAACTTCTGCAGAGTTTCTAATTTAAGAGCTGCAATCGACGTTAGTTATCCCAAATGTGCGTTGAGGGGGAAAACCCTTTTTACCATCCTCGGTTCCTTCACCAATTACCTGGTCATCTTTAGCTCCTTTCCTGATTGCAGTGAGCTCCCTGATTCTATGGAGCTCAGAAGCAATCCCGCGGACTGCAAAGAAGAGAGTGACGCCTGCAAAGAGGATTTAGCTACGTCGAATATAGAGATGGAATGTGATAAAAGCATACCTAGACATAGCCATACAACACGGTCATTATTTTGTGAAGCCATATCTATTGCTGTCCTCTATTACAGCCACTGTTCCCCTTGTTGCAGCTATCGAACGATGTAAAGTCGGTTAAACGTGTTGAAGTGGCAGAATATTAACTACTTACAAATAGTTAAAGGCGGTGAGCCGCTTCTTTTTCCGGTATTAAAATTATGTACTTTCGGTCTAAAAAATATCACTGTTAATCCCAACAACTAGACATTCAACCCACACCTCTTGTGCTCCGTCCGAAGACTAATATCGCAATAATGGCCCCTTCTCAGCTTAAGCAACTGAAGGCCTCTCTTCGGGAAAGCGGCATTCTGGGTCCCCAACAGTCGAAAAAGCAGAAGCAGAAAAATGCTAAGTCCGGTGCGGCCGCCGCAAACAAAATACAGCGTAATGCTGCGCTCGCGGGAATACGGGAGCGATTCAATCCCTTCGAAGTTAAAACGCCTTCAAGGCCCGCAAAATTCAGTTTTGCTACGCGATCGAACCACGAGGCGCCACAGTCCAGACCAGGAGTTACAAAAGGGCTTGGAGAGCAAAGGGTTTGCTTTCCTATTTGCTTATATGTTCTATTTCCTTCCTAGAAATATCATATGCTGACTTATTTGATCTAGAGGAAGGAAACACTGCTTAAAGAAATGCACCGTCGTGGCAAAGTTGGTACACTGCTTGATCGACGATTCGGTGAAAATGATCCGACAATGACCCCCGAAGAAAGGGCAGTAGAACGCTTTGCACGAGAGAGTCAGAAGAAACTAAAGAAGGAGTCAGTGTTTAATCTTGAAGATGAAGAGGATGAGATTGAACTTACGCATTTGGGGCAAGCTCTAATCTTTGACAAGGAAGATGGAGACGATTTTCATGAGGACGATCTGAATGGTTCTGATGAAGATGGAGACTCCGAAATAGCACGAAAACGGAGGATCCTGGTTGAAGAAGACGATATGGAGGGACTGGCTGATGATTTAGAGGATGAGGGGCCACGAGAACGGAAGAAGTCGAAAAATGAAGTCATGAAAGAACTCATCGCAAAGTCAAAATTTCATAAATATGAGCGTCAAAAGGCGAAGGAGGATGATGACGATTTGCGAGCGACTCTTGATAGAGGTCTTCCCGAAATCTTTGAGATGATGAGAGGAGTAAAAAAACCTGAACCGGAATCCTTGCCAAATCCTGATCTTATCGCGACAATGAATCCAGATCGCGCAGCACTCTTAAATGGAAAGGATAGAGACCAGGCTGATAAGGAATATGATCAACGGTTGAAGCAATTGGCGTTCGAGAAACGAGCTAAACCATTAGACCGTACAAAGACGGAAGAAGAGAGGGCAGAAGAGGAAGCAGAGAAGCTAAAACAACTAGAAAAGGAGAGACTCAGGAGAATGCAAGGAGAGAATGACGAATCATCCGAGAACGAGGAAAACGCCAGCTATAGAGAAATGGGGGATGAATCAGAGCGGGACGATGCGAAGGCATTTGGATTAGCTCAGCCCAGTAGCGTGACTGATCTTGGGGTTGAGGATGAAGATGATTTTATCATCGATAGCGACCTTGTCGAGTCCGATTCCGAAGCGGATCTCTCTCTGGACGAGAGTGACATTGCCTGTTCGGCAGATGAAGAAGAATCCGAAGATAAAGAAGATGAATTCATTGGGAGTTTAGTCCTTCCCCCCGACGCAGAAGATGGAAAAGGGTTTGCGGGCACCAATGCGGGTCCTTCCACAGTGTCGGGAAATCAGTCTTTGGCATATACATACCCATGTCCAGAAAACCATGAGCATTTTTTGCAAATAATACAGGCTGCCAAAACTGAAGACCTGCCAACCATTGTCCAGAGAGTCCGAGCACTCCACCATCCTCGACTCCACGGCGACAATAAATCAAAACTTGCTGCTTTTTCGAAGGTGCTTGTGCAGCATACTGCGTTCCTGGCGAATCAACCAAACCACCCACCATTCGCTGTCCTTGAGAATTTACTGCGACATATCCACTCCATGGCCAAATCTCAACCAGAACCGGTGGCTACTGCGATGAGAAACCATCTACGAGAGATGTCAGACAATCGCCCTTTGGAATTGCTACCAGGAGATCTTGTTATCTTAACAGGCGTCGCAACCATATTCCCCACATCTGACCATTTTCATGCGGTCGTCACTCCATCCATGCTTGCAATGGGTAGATACCTCGCCCAGAGCACTATCACCAACATTGGCGATGTTGCGACTGGTGCCTATATTGCAACCCTTTGCATCCAATATCAAACTCTAGCTAAGCGATATATACCGGAATTCGTTAACTACGTGCTAAATGCGATATGTATCCTAGCGCCCAGCGAACCCCAAACCACATTTGGGTTCTTTCCCATTAGAAAACCAACCGCTTCCTTACGAATAATAACCCCATCGAAGCTCTCCTCGTCAGCACCAATCAGAAAACCTGCATTTTGGGATATTCTCTCCGATTCTTCTGCTGACACAGTTGAGCAAGAAACTATCAAATTGTCTTTACTCAGTACCTTTGTCGATCTCCTCGATCAGGCTGCCGACCTCTGGCCCTCTAAATCTGCCTTCTGCGACATTTTTTCCCCAGCCAACCGTGTCCTTAAGCACCTTAGCGAATCCATTAACAACAACTTTTCCTCCACACTCTCCGACCAGCTTCGTAGAATCTGTGACAAGCTCCAGGCGCTGCTTAAGCAGTCGGACCTCGCCCGCCGCCCTCTTCTCCTACACAAACACCGACCTCTCGCGATCAAAACCGCCATACCTAAATTTGAGGAATCCTTCAACCCACACCGTCACTACGATCCTGATCGTGAACGTGCCGAGCTTAATAAATTGAAAGCGGAGCATAAGCGTGAGCGCAAGTGGGCTATGCGCGAACTGCGTAAAGATGCAAACTTCATTGCGCGTGAAAGTCTCCGTGAGAAGCGCGAAAAGGATGCGGAGTATGAGCGCAAGTATCGTAGACTTGTCGCAGAGATTCAGGGAGAAGAGGGGAGAGAAGCAAAGGCCTATGAGAGAGAAAAGAAGGCTAGGAAGACAAAGAGGTAGATTGCATTTTTGGGGGTCATTTTTGGTTATCGTGTTGCTTTTGCTTCGTTGTATATGCTCTATATACCCCCATACCTGGTTACATACTCCTAGATGCGTTGTTCTTGGGAGAGCGAGGGTACGCCTGCCCTCTGATATTTTTCTTATATTTTTCAAGAGGTAGTTTATAAAACAATAAAACTAAAAAGCGCAAGCCGTGTAATGTCAAAATATTGATGTTAGAATCATCTTATTCTTAATTCTCTGTGACTGTCTCTAAACAGGGTATATATGCAGAAATAGTGACATGAGTGAGAAAATGACAACATCCACAAGGCCTGTCTATGATGCAACCAAGTTAGGGAAAAGCCGACCACACCAAAAAAATATGCTACCCTCCTTACGCTGCTCTGCTTAAAAAAATTAAATAAATAAATAAATAAATAATAAAAATAAAAAATAACAGATAGAATGCACTGTACAACAGACAAATACTAAGAGTCACATCTTAAGCTCCACCCCGACCTTAATCAGGTACTCACATTTCGTGAGCTGCCCTTTATCGATCACCCTCGTCTCCGTCTTGCCTGTCTTGACATACAAGTTGTGCAGCACTCTATCACCTTTCTTATTCAAAACTGTCCCCCACTTAGGGCTTCCTTGAGCTCTGTGCGTATTCGGATCATAACTGCGGATGAAACTCGTCCAGTAACTTTGCATAAGGGGCACAATAGGCGCATCGACACCTCCACGCATGTATGACTGTGGTCCATAGCCGTGCACAGGACCCCAAATGGCAGGAAGCTCAGCCGTGTGGCCAACCCCAACGCCTGATTTCGTAGATGGCGGGTCGTCAACGTCGTAGTGAAAGTGCCATGCTTTTTCGTGGTTGCACCATATGCTGCTGGCAAGGCTTAAAGCGAGAGACGGACAATTGTACCGCATATTACCATAGGCATTGCTGGCTTGGCGCCAGAATGGTCCAGAGTCGGGAAAATCATCATTGGTCTTCGGGAAAAGCTTGTGGATTTTGTCCAGGTGCTTTTGCTGCAGGGCTGGAAATTGGTTCTTCAGGAAGTCGTCAGATTCTTTGAAGCTTTTTGTTTTTTTGGGGACGAAGACGGTGCCCTCGTTAGTGTCTGAGCCGAATATCGTAGGAACTTTCTTTATTTTTCCAGCTCCGATGAGCCTGTAGGTATAGTCCGTGATTAAATCGCCATCGATGGTTGGGCTGTACATGAATAATGGCGGGGCATTGCTGCCTGGGAGGGGGTAGGTTTTGTCGAGCTTTTGGATATTCACTGCGTCCATCTTGCGGAGACATGCGAGAGAATCCTTGCCGTTGCATTTCGTATTCTTGACAAGGTTGTCATACATATATTGGCTTTCTTTGACTGTTAACTGAGTTCCAAACGAGGGAGAGCCCGCTGCTGCCGCGTGGAAAGTATTGACACTCTTCCCCCCAAATGCTGTGAGCAGATAATATACGGAGGCAGCGCCGGCGCTATTTCCTCCGATTGTGACATGATTAGGGTCTCCGCCAAACTGAAGATTAAGTTAGCGTAAGAAATGTTCAACTTCACTCCCGGCCAGAGATCAATATTTTGATATCTCTCGTTCGTTGAACAGAAAATACTAGCGACGGTAGATACCTTATTAATATGCGCCTTAACCCATTCAAGAGCCTTAATTTGGTCTTTAAGACCATTGTTAAGACTAGCTTTCTCTTTGATTTCTTTGCCTGCAAGGAAACCGTAGAGTCCAACACGATAGTTGAAGGTCACAACGATGACATTCATGCCAGAAGCCTCGATAATTCCAGTGCCATTCAGCTTTGAGCCAGCAAGGCCGTTGAAACCACCACCTTGAATATAAAAATAAACAGGTAGCTTAGCATTCGGTTTAGCTTTCGACGGCGCATAGACGTTGATGAAGAGACAATCTTCCGATGTATGCTTGTGTGGCACGACGCGGGTTCCCAGACATGCGAGACCGTGCTGTGGAATGTGTCTTAGCCATAGTTATCCTACTGCCAAATACTCACACCACGTCGATCTGGATCAAGAACGAAAAAAAAAAAAAAAAAAAAAAAAAAAAAAAGGAAAGGAAAGGAAAGGAAAGGAAAGGGCAAAAAAACAAAAAAAGAAAAAAAGAAAAAAAGAAAAAGAAAGAAAAAGAAAGAAAGAAAGAAAGACTTACTTGATCAGCAATCTGATCCTTCGTCTCCTTCAGGGGATCCTTCGGTGCTGCGAAGCGGAGATGTCTTAACGGGGGTGCTGCATATCGCATACCAAGCCAATGAGTAACTCCGCCGGGATTTTGTACTCCTCTGTATTTGGCATAGCCCAAGTTAACCAAAGGGTTCACGGCATGTACCAATTGCAAGGCATTCAGAAGGGATATCAGGAGAACCAAAGATGCATATACCGCCATGAGACATATGCAGCAAGCAAAAGAATTATATGCAACAGGAATGAAGAAAGGAAAACATAAAAGTAATTAATGAACTGCAAATAAAAAATAAAAAAATAAAAAATAAAAAAAAAGAGCAAGACGGAGGAGATGATATATATAAACTGCCTTTCCGTGACACCACCCCATGCAGCATGGCATGACTCCTGCAAGAAACCATGTTGCTGCTGTCAGCGATCATTCAAAATAGTAACAGGGATTGAGCCGGCGCGCCAGAAACCTTCCCAAATACAAAATGCAACACCCCTCTGAAAGTGGAGTCCTCGGTGCGGGGGAGTCCATTAATGTTCTATTTTTGAGAAGCACAGTCTTTGCCGTCAATTCTGTGCGAATAGTGTTAATGTATAGTTATTATCGCTATATCTAGATGTTATTGACTAAATATTCAAAGTAGATAGTTAAGTGGCTGTGAGTTTGTCGTAAGCTGTCAGCAAGCAAGACGCGGCAAAGACTCAAAACATCAGCGGGAGAGAACAAAATAGTGTCACTCAAATGCCAAATAGCAAGGGAAAAGCTTAGCTTCATCCCCTCTTTAATAATATTAACTATTATTATCAGTTAACAAGTTAGTTAAGAATCTGTTTCAAAGCTCTTCAGTTCAAGACACGGACATTTTACAACTCTAAAAGGGCAATCCAAGCATCCTAACTCTAACCGAAGAGATAATAAATACCTGAAGTGAAGCTGCCACACAATATGGGCAGCAAGCAGATCGCAGAATTTCGGACGTGGAATTCTGCGGAACGCTCCCCACCAACACTACAAAATAATTGATCGTTGAGGTTTTTGATTTTTGATTTTTGATTGTCTTATTTTAAATATACAGAGGTTATCGATAACTAATTATTCTTACGTTGAAATTAGTTAAATTCTCTCTGGTGGGGGCTGAGTGATTTCCGACGTGGGACTGTGGACTGTATGAACCACAGTTGCCTTTGTATTTGATGAAATAACTCGAGTTTTCCAGTCCAGAGACGGCTTGCCTCAACGTCAGATGATGAAATTCCGAAGCAATTGAAACTTCTTTATGAATAATGATCACAAAATCAACTGAGAGCTGGGGGGGAGGGGGGGGTCCCTCTCTTGGACAGTTGGTTTTTCAGGCGCAGTGAAACTGGCGTCATCGTATATTCTAAGAGCCGTTAACGTCAGTGCTAATATATTGGACACAACGACTGTCCCCTGGCAGAAAGGTTCTGGCTAGAAGCCTTTAACAACCCCATTTCATTTCTTTATCAACGACTCCATGCGTTGCTGTTTCAAGCGCCGGTGATGATATGTTGGCCCTTAGACTTGGAGTTGGATCAGAAGTTAAAATAGTTTAGCCAAGATGCTCTCCGCGGGCTTTGCTTTCCGGCTCGACGATCTAGTTTTGATACTAATAACTCAAGTGAAATATATAGACATTGCTGTCGTTCGATAGCCGAGAGATTAGATGTAACTCAGCATGTTTGTGGAATGGGTAACTGAAGTTAAAGGCAGATCCAACACTGAAACGACAGTGGCGTTGCCCCAAGGAAGTTAACTATGGCAGTTAACTTCCCTAGTGTTCGCGACGAAACTTATCCAAGGAGAAAAATCCTTCATAATATCCGATCCCCATCACTCGTGAGCTATGGGTAAGAAAATGGGGGTTATTTTTATTGCCGCAACTATCCAACCAGAAATAGCACCTAATTCCCGGGTTAAAACATCCCAATTCGGGGGTTTCTTTTATGCTAGTAGTCAACTATGTAATTGCTTTTTCAACGAAATTAGCTTTAGTTATACCGGGGGGATCTGTGGCGCATTGAAATTTGGATTCTATTTTTGGGAAGCCGTCAGATTTCGCGTGAAAAGTCTTCAAATCAAACTCTTGATGTTCAACAACCTTTGACTCAACTTGAACGAGTCAGTTAATATTTAGTTGCCTATGTGAGAATAGCGCATTCAAGGCCAGCTGCCCACCGAGATGGACATACAAAACATTCCCGCCGTTAATCCCGCTCCGCAAACAAACTCTAGGGCCGTGGATTTATGTTCAAATGCCGAAGCCAGATTTGCCAAGGCGCATATCCGTGAAAATTGCATGTTGCCTACCGTCTCGTAGCCTGGGTTTCTTCCCACTCAACCCAATGCCCCTGGACGAGACGGGCCGCCCCAGCAGTCCGCTTGTCTGGTTGTGTTTGCACTGGACGCCACCGTTGCTGACGAGAGTGGCACAACCTTGGGCATGCCCTTCGGCTACGAGCTATTCCAACGTGCGTGTTTTGTTGCCGCCATAGGCAAGGGCGGAATTTAGATCGATATGCTATTGCGTAGATCGAGACTTTCCCGGCCCGGATCGGCGGTGATGCGGGGCCAGCTCGTGGATAGGGGATGGGCCAAGTAGGAGGGGATTGAGGGGCATCGCCCGCAAATATGCTTGGGAGGAGCATTGCTACCAGTATCTTGTTGGCGTTTATTTAATACCTGTATGGTGTTGTTCGGGTGAGCAGGTCCTTGCTGACTCGTAATCAGAGTATCCAGGTAAGGGGCTAGCAACGATGATTGAACGGAGGTAACGAGAGCAACAGAGAAATACGCTACATATCATAGGTTGACTTGCTTGCCATTCCCCATCTCCATTACCACGAATGGGGTGCATTCTCTGTCGATAAGAGGTTGAGAACAGCTCTCTTGAGGATCAAACATCCAATGCCAACTTGCAGGGGGCTGGTATGTGGGGACAGCGGTGCAACCCGAAGTTTTGCGAAAGACACAGCCAACATGACACGCAGCTTCCAGGCATGTTGCTAGTCTGGCATTCCGTGAGCTAAAAGGTACCTGCTATGGCTCACTGATTCATGCTGCTGTCTCTTGTTGTGAGGCTCTGCTCAATTATTCGTGCCCATGGGTTAACTAACTAGGGCTCAGGGGCGTGTCAGGGGAGACTGGCATATCCAAGCCATCAAGTGCCTTTTAAAACCAAAACTGGCCACAATCTTGTCTTCTGATGCTCCTGAAAGATGCTTGAGATTCTCGAACTGCAGGTGTTCAGCTGGAGAACGATTGAGGTTCATCTGCCTTCCTTCACACAGTTTTGCTACCTTATTTTGCTTAGGGAACTGCTGTGGAGCTACGGAGTGGTTAGCTAGTTAGTTATCCAGTTAAGGAGTAACTACAGGGTAGTTAGTTTAGGATAACTAGCATGGATATCCAAAATTAGTTATACGAAGTTCACAAGGAACGCCAGCTTCTTTCATGTATTGTTCCATTTCTTTCTGCCATATATATGAAGGCTTGGGTAGAAGCACGTAGGTGAAGTGAAGGCTGTAGTTAATCTATTCCCATTTATTTCATACGCGCCCATTAAATGGCGGTTATGGGAATGGCACACTTCTCATTGCCTCGCACTCTTCTGGTTCCTTACATCTCCCATTTAGCTGACTGTCATGTCATTCTTTGTACTTTATATTTCTGCCAGAGACAAAAAAAAAAAAAACCTCTGCTAAATGATTGGGGACCCGATGAAAGGTTGAATTCGCAGCGTCTTCTTACGCGGTAAAACGTCGGAGAGATGGAAATTGTGCTGGCGAACAATCAATTTTGAAACACCCTTCCACTGCATATCGCCGTCCAATAGAGGAGTACATTAATTCCATTCGACGCGAATTATTTCTGCGTGCTTCTTAGAACGCGGGGTAATCTTCGCTGGGAACCGCTACGGCAAAACAACCAACCCTTCCTTCAACTTCTCTGGGTCTGGGACAATTTCGTTTCCCTGCGCATCACGGGCTATGCCGAACCCAAAGCCCCATAGCAAACGTGAAATTCCAAGAAAGAGAGAACGCTCTGCAACATGCATTCCCTGGCAAATCTTCCGCCCCGCACCAAAACCAAAGAGGTCATGTTTAGACACGTCCGGGTTCGAGGCAGCCTCACTTGCGGTTTGGAAGTCGTTGAAATAACGCATAGGATCGAAGCTTCTGGGACTACAGATCACAGCAACCGAACATAGCATTGAAGTACAGATGCCATCTCAACGTAATGCTTTAAAGTTGCCGCAGTTCATCTCCTCGTTGTCTATCCAGGCTCCAGTCAGGAAGTATTTCCGCAAAATAATTATCCCACCTGCGGAAGTCGCGCACGGAAACTAATTGCTTTCCGCGATTTTAGCCACATTTCCTGAAGAAGACAGGGTATTTCGACGATGCGGTCCGACGTATTCTTCAATCAATGATATGGTAAATGTCTGACAAGGATGTACGGACAGAACCACACATGATGTATTAGGCCTTGAATGACCATCGGGCGCAGTCGTGGACCAAAGTGCGGGAAACCTGCACTTGAAACTTTCGGATTTTAATTTCCTGCGAACTGGGGAAATGCGATGTAAGTGTGCTTGAAGCATACCCTTTAAACTCATCGCTGTCACCACCCAATTTGACATCGGGTATGCGCTTTCTTGTCGGCCAAAACGCACATGGTTAAGCAACTCTCGTAGAAGAGGTGTATTGAGAAGTCATTTCGAGACATGATAACACGACCCTTGGATATTTAGAACCTCCAATTTCACCCCTCCAACAGGATGTATTTAGAGACGAACGCTCGAGACTATGGTGCATTGCGTTACTATCCCACACAATTATGTGTTATACGAACACCAAACAGATAGGCTGCATCCCCACGCATCTCTCCATATCGATGATGCCACCAACATGCTTGTTTGCGGGTCGCGGGGAGGTTGCCTTTTATGAACTGCTTTCCGAGTCTATAAAAAATCGAAGGGTGAAAAGAGAACTGGAAAATTTTTGGGATGAGCCAGCCAGTTGGAGCGCCTGCTGTCCCAATGTACCCAATTCACAGGTTTTTGGCGAGAATTTTTGCACCACACAGGACACTTCATACGCTTGATGAGAGAATTTGTCGAAATATTAAAATGCCATTTGCTCAACATGTTTCGCAAACGTATCCTTTGGCTTAGGCAAAGGAATCCGATGATATCTTTCACCATCAATTGAAGCAAGTTTATTTACTCGTTATTTCCAGCACCCGCAGAGCAAACCTGGTGAAAATTCAAAAGGTACGTTGTCGAGTGGCTCTGTGGGAAGCTGAAATATGCCCAAGGTTGTGACATCTTCCCAAACCCTTTGTTGAACATAATAATTGAATCAGTTTCTGCATTTATATGTGGAAGCTATGACAGTAGATGGATGCCTTTAAATCCTTAAAGAAGCCTGAATCCAACCATAAGCCGTTATTAACGACATAGTTGCAGAGTGAATCAACATCATCTGTTGTTGACTTGCATCGGGGATCTCGAGCGGAGATCACATGACGTGCCAAGTAATCGCTGACGGAGCTCAAAGCTTCCTTGAAACACTCCGGGGTCTCATTCTGCTGGAGGACGGAAAGAAAGTCGACAACATTCAACCAACCGCAGGCCCTTCGCCAGCTACGGACTATGACAGGGATAAAGATGGATAAAATTCTAGATCCATGATATATACGGTGACTGCGTAATTTTTGGCCATTCAAAGTTTTGGGCGTGGCATAAACATGCCTCACCATCCTTCATTCTCGAAGCGCTCTGGCGGAAGCCAAGGAGACAACAAGAATGCAGAGAACGAGGAGGAAGTGGAGGACTACATGTCGATGACTATTGTCGAGCCACCTAGGCTACAGGGGCGGAAGGAAACATACAGTGAAATGCGCTTGCGAAAGCAAAGGGAGGTTCGTTGAATCCTGCACAATTAACTGACATAAACTGTGTTATCGTTGTCTCCCTTGCTTATATTGTTATGTTTTGTGACCACAGCAAACTGCACCATGCTGCCTCCCATAGACATGTCATTATGAGTTGCTGACAGCGTGTACGCTCCTCATTCGTAGTCTGAAGCTAAGTCCCGTGTCCCGTCCAAAGCAGAGCGGGCTGCTGCTGAGGCTGCTCGAAGAGACTCCGCGCTCTCTACTAGCACTCTTGACCCCTCGAACAAAGGTTTTCAGATGATGGCTAAACTAGGTTTCAAGCCTGGAACTGCCCTTGGAAAAGATCGGTCTCCCGAATACGCATCTGGTGTTGATGAGTGGAACCGGCGACTCACAGAACCTCTAAATGTGGTGGTCAAGGAGGACAGAGGAGGAATCGGGATGGATAGTGAGAAAAAGCGAAAAATAAGAGAGCAAGCTGAAATTGAAACGAAGAGAGTTAAGGCTGAAGAAGGAGATTTTAGAGAGAGGGTAAGGCGTGAAAGAGAAGAAAAGAGGACTGAGGGATTATTCATCGCCGCCCAAAAGGTCGCAGAAAGATTGGATGTTGAGCAGGCTGAAGATGAAGAGAACATGAGCCTTGGTGGCCAAGACCGTACGGAAACATCACCAAAGGATCCTACCAAACAAGGCCTGAAAGCCAATTCCACACAACCATCCATATCTACTGCTACTGGTAACGCAAAGCGCCACACCAAGCCAACATCGCAAATCAACATACTCTATCGTGGCCTCGTCCGCGCTCGGGAGGAGAGTTTGCGCAACCAGCAAGCTCTTCGTGGCCTGTACAAGTCACTCTCCTCCAAAAACCCAGCCCTGATACCGAACCTCGAAAATCTTCCAACATATAGTGATGACCAGCTAGAGCCGGATGATAGACTTGCCTTAGGTCGAAATGCAGAAGGAGAAGTTCTTGAAGTTGAATTGGAAGAAAGCGAAGACGAGGAATTGGCAGAGTTTAATGCCTTAAGCGCCCAGGATCGGTTGTCCAGGGTGGTGATGTACCTCCGCGAGAAATATCGATATTGCTTCTGGTGCAAGTATCGCTACGAAACCGAGGAAATGGGAGGCTGTCCAGGCTTAACGGAAGATGATCATGACTGAGGTAGCCTCGTCATCTGCGTTTAAGTTAGACGTATGATGATACCTTGATATTCCTTGCAGCTGTGTCTTGTTCGGCTGCGAAGTTCTTGAAACGTACGTGACTTAATGGGTGCTAGCCCGCCTTTTTCCTGCTTCAAAATTGCAGGATCTAGGTCATCCATTTAAAACTAACAAGCATTAACAGTTTACCCCCCCCTTCTTTTGCCTTAGTGCATCTGCCATTTTGCCCGCCCCAACTTACCCCATCACCGTTCTTCCGCAATCTACAGGACGAACACAGTTGCGATTTTCCGAACTACTAGTCCAGGGCTTATGTTGCATGCACTGCGCCTGAGTAACATGTTCATCCGCTAATAAAGAGGGTCGGAAACCTAACTGGATTTGTTCAGCGAACTTGAAGTCCTGCTGACACGAACGGCGTTTCCAGTTGAGCAAATAGACACATACCAGCGAATAGAATAGAATAGAATAGAGGGAATATTTTGTGGAATCCCATATAGTTTCGCAAGCACAGTAATGTCGCATTTCACTACACCTTAGCAGCTAAACTAAACATACAGGTGCACTTTGGCCGCATTCTTCATTCTCACCAGATGAAACTCGAGCTCCTCTCTCAGAAATGAGCCTTCCCCGTTAGCCCATATATCTTGGTAACGAAACAAAACATTTTGTATCCCAACTTTGTGCCTGCACTGAACCCCAACTCCCATTTCCGACCCCTCAACCCAACTCAGTTGTTCCCCTTCTTCATATTCTCCACGTCATGCTCCATCATTTTGTCCAGGATGGCATTTCCCTCCTCGAAATCGTCCACACCCATACCGAGTCCGTACGAGTGCTGGAAGTTTTTTCGATCTCCCCATCCTTCCTTGACAAATTGGTACTTGGACGGAACGCTCGAATTGGAGGTGCTGGTTCTGGCAACCAGAGAGAGGTTAATGGTAAATTGTGTCAGCGATGTACGGTACATGTATAAGAAAGGAGGATGTCGGAATGATGAAGACTAGAAGTTCTGTTGGACAGGTAGACATCAAAAAGGTCTTTATGCGCCTTTTGTGTTTCTGTGTGCATGCATGTTTTAAATCGGACCGGTGCAATGGGGTATTCTTATGCAGTTGTCCAGCGGCTGTTTCCGTTTGACAAATTCGTTTAAGACAGGAACAAGATAGAGGAGGGACGACATTATATCTTTCTGTCTATAGAAATGAGAAATATCAAGGCACCTTGAGGAGATGATGCTCCCCCCTCTTTGTGTACATGTGCCGTACATGTGTCTCTTATCTATAATATGTATACGTACTTGGTATCACTTTTGGCATGCCCAGGAGCCTGTAATTCAGTTAGTTTAATGGCAGACCATCTCCGTATTGCAGAAGCTCCCTGGAGGAGATAAAACACAAAACTAGTCTAGATATGTACATACCTGCTGTCCTCCACCCCCTGTTTTCTTCCCATCCGATGGCATGATAATTCAGTCTGCCTTCTCAAGGAATGGCTTGAGGTTTTTGGCCTCAGTCAAAGTCTTGGAAGCACTGAAAAGCAGAAACCCTGATCCCAAATCGGACCTAGAAGTTCGTTTACGTTCCGAGATGGTTTGGTCGGCAGATACCTTCAATATTTGGAGTTTTGTGGGGTGCTGTGTTTATTTATCATTTGGCAACCCGCAATGTGAACATTGGAAGGTAAAGAGTGGGTAAACGGGGGAAAAGTGGGAGAGAGCGAATGAGTGGACTCGATGATCTCTATCATAAAATTTAGTTCGGAGCTGCTTGGACCCACATAACTTCGTTATCTGTTGATTTTATATTCATACCATTTTCTCCCAATCAGTTCAATTCGAAGGCAATCAGTGTGTGATTGCAGAGAAGGCTCGTCGTCTCCAAAGACAAAAAAGGGGGAAGGAAAAGATTAACTACAATAAAAGAAAAAACGACATGCGCTGAATCATCTATGTACATCATATATCAAGCTATTAAATTATATGATTCTAGAAAAGGAACTAGAGCCCATGAGCTAACATAAAACAGCAAACGAATGGCACGGGGTATAAATGGGATGCATCTGTAGATTACCGTCCGGGACGCTCAAAAGGCATGAAGTATATAGAAAACATGGACAGGATAGTCAGAAACAAATCTCCATACATAAACACGCTCTCTCTGGCACCAGAAGAGGGACAATAGCATTTCAACGACAGAGATTTACTTAAATCGATGTATGTATATTACCTACTCGCGCACTTTTTCTCTTCATCTGGAGGATTACCGAAACGCCAGACGCCATAACACCTCGTTAAAAACCAAAAATAAAACCAAAAATAAAAATAAAATAAAATAAAATAAAAAAATAAATTTGGAATGAAAAGAAATAAATGAAATGAAAACAAGAAAGAGAGGAAGGAGAAGAAGAAAGAAAGAAAAAGAAGATCCAAGTAAGAGCCAAATGTGCCGTTTGAGAAGATATTGCAAGCTCGCATGCTGCCACCACTGAGGCCGCTTGTCGATACTTTAATCTGCTCTCGATCAAACATCGATTCTGGCCTGGAAATTGTATGACCAAGGACTCATAAAAGTTCCATATGCGTAACTATGCCTCTGTTTTCTTCGCTTCTCTGGTTCATATAGCTAACTCCCTTTTCCCGTCCCTAAACTTATTATATTAATCGAGCGGTAATCCGTGCTCTCGAGCGGGTTTGAAACATAAAAAGAAATGAGATGCAGAAGCTGTCGGCTAAACGAAAAAGAAGATAAAGAAAGAGAAAGAAAGAAAGAAAAAGAAAAGAAAGAGAAAAAAAAGGGGGGGAAAAAATAGCGAAACTCAAGGATAAGTCCCATGAATGAATTATGCACCTCCAGCAGCTTCTAAGGCGCGCACGAGACATTCCATAAGCTCTTTGAGTGACCGCCGCTTGCACTTCTGAATAGTCTGCATGCATTCGCGGCAGATTCGCAGGCAGCAGAATGTGCATCGCCAGCGAAGCAATTGGTCTTCTTTCAGACAAGCCATGCATGGCACGGGATAGACGGAGTTGTTTGAGGCTGCGAAATAACGATGGGATTGGTAGCAGGAGAAATGGACTTTGGTGAGCGGTGGGATGAGATTCTTCATTAGTCGCGGCTGTTTTTGGGAAGCTGGTCTGTTCCCTTCCGGAGTGGGTACCGGCGCATTGGGTTTCATGGTGGATGGTTCGGATGGCATTTCGGTTGTGATTAAGAGTTCTGTCTTTTGAGTGCTGGTGCTGCTGTTCCTACTACTGTTGCTGGCACTTCTGGCGCTGCTGGTGCTGCTGCTGGAATTACTCGCGGCCGTTAGTGGGGTAGTGGGTTTGTTGAGTCTGCTCATCTGGTCTGTCCTGACTTTGGTTGGCTCTTGCGAGTATGGTGTCAGTGGTGTGGGGGACCCTGAGGAGGATGGTGTCATGATTTTGGAAGATGGGCTTGTAGGATTAGAAAGTGGGACGAAGCTCCTTGATTTCCTAACGACCATAGACTGGACATAAGGTTGCCGGTTGTGATGTGCAGGAGAAGCGTATGGGATCCCCAACCGTGTGCGATGCTTATCAGGACGTCTGATGGTGGTCGTCTGTGATGATCCAGATCGAGACGGGAGCTGCTTTCCTTCAAAGGCAGAGAGCTGGACTGTAACAATTGACAGCTCGGAAGGGTCCATCCCCTCCGTTATCGATCGTCTGTATCTGCGTGAGAGAAGAGCCTCGCTCGACAAGAGCTTCAAATCATGGAGAGCAAGGCGATCGTCAATGCGCTGCATAATTGACAAAATTGGACTCTTCTTCCTCTCTTAGTAGCTTACCAGGTTGAAATTTGATCTCGATCCTGCGATGTAAGTTACAGCCTGATATGATCAAACAGTTTTCTTATCTTTGTTGGAAGAGATCATAGGAGGATTGGAACATCGCTTGTGATGTTGACGTGACTATAACACTCTACGAACAGAGTATCATTATGAATACAAGGAGGTTGAACTTTGACCGCCGTGGTGAATGCGACGGTGAATCTGTACTTTTGCACAACAGTTTAAAGGTCAACGATTCACATAGTTATAATTTTGGAGTGCAGAATTTCCACAAGGACGGGCCCAGCATGAATATTTGTCACCCCCACCCCGTCACATAGTTAAACGAAATCAACGTCTGACAACCAATTTGCTCTGTCCGTGCCTGGCCCAAATAGATATAAACCTAATCCTCTCCTTAGCGCGCCATGCGGTCGATTCCAAAGAATCGCAAACGGCCGGGGCAAAATGGCAGCACGAAAATGGTTTAGCAGCCTTATTAGTGGCTAGCCATGGGCCGCCATAGGTGAATGTGATATGATATGTATGGACTATCACCACATTTGAAGGACGATACGATAATAGCTAGGGCGCTCAAATTCGAATATTTTGCCACTTGAGATTTCAGTCAACGTGACTGGGAGTGTAAGAAAGGCGTCTCAAGCATTGAGGTATAACTTGGAAAGTTTGAAGTCAAAAGTTTAGTTTAACAATAGCCCCAACGCCACAGAGGGAAGAGGGCTAGGGGAACATTGGCGCTACCTTTAAGCCGAGTTTGACACGTTCAATTGTTGAAGGTGAGGACCGAGTGAAAATTTCATTTACCAGATTGTGCGGAGTACTTACGGGGTGGCCTTGTTGCTCTGCGAATCTGTCCTGCATATTCCAACTATTAACCCGAATTCGGATGTCGAAACATGCAAGAAATATTAACCAACAGCAGGAAAGAAAAGGAGGATGTCAACGTATGACAGCGGTCAAAACCAGAAACTCAACCAATGCAATTGACTTTGGGCATTCGGAACCAAAATAATTCAGCGGCTGCAGAGCATCGTTGTCTGCCACTGGTTCGTCCACCCCCAAGGTTGAGGCTGAGATCTGGGGAATAGGAAAACGGACAGAATATTTAATACACGTGGACCAACAAACTGCAAGCAAGCTTCCAAGGTTCGAATACAAGCTCTCGATATCCCACCACCCATTGCTTCGAGCATCGTTCGATCGTCGTTGCTCAGAGCGGGGAGCTGAGTATAACTTCTGGGTGATAGTGGATATAGTGGATATAAGAAGGGCATTCTTTTCAATGTGGTGGATTGTGCAATTATTGCTGAAGAGACGCAAATATCCCAAGTCCCCGTAAACGTCACGTGTCTCTGCTTGATTGATTTGATTGATTAACTTCTCAAGTTGACATCTGCACATCATTAAGGGCAACTGATCTAATAGCTGTCCAAACAATGTAGTTAACTAATTAATTCTCAACTGATCGGCACTTCAAATTTGCAACGTGAAACTACTTTCTCAACCCTTTTTCTCTTGATGTGTTAAAATATTACCATTTACAATAAATAAAAAAGAAACTCTATAGATATAAAAGGTGGACGCAACTTGCAATTCCTTCTTTGAAAAATAAAAAAATTAATATCTCTATTTGTGAAGTAGCAAGACTGCACTGTGTTGACTAAATGAAAATTACTTCTTAAATTTTCTTTTGTAAATATATAATAAATTATTTTTCTATTATATAAATTTTATATAATAATTTTTTTTATATTAATAAAAGATAAAATTTAAAATTAATTAAATATTATATTGATATGTAGTTAATAAAAATTATTAAAATTTTTTAATTAAATTTTTTTTTATATATTTTAAATAATATATTTAACTAAATAAATTATTAAATAAATAAAATTAAAATTAAATAATTTAAAAGTATTTATTTTGATAGTAAATAAAATAAAATTAAAATTATTTTATTTTATATATTATTATATAATAAAAGATTATCTTTTCATCTATCTTTTATTGTATAATTAGCGTGATTTCATTAGCATATACTATATATAATATTATTGACTAAATGATATAATATTATATTCTATTTAATATTAGTATATTATAATAAACTAAGTTTAATTAAATTATATAAATTTTTCAGCTCTGTCAATATTATAAAATTTCTCTCAGCATTTAGTTTTCAAGTAAAAAGAAACATTATTACATGTTGAGCATTCAGATTTTGATGTAAAAGTGTTAGGCTCAGCGCCCGACCGAGCCCGACCGAGGCTCGGTGCCCGGTTAGACTCGACGTCGGATTAAGCTCGGCGCCCGGTTAGGCCAAATATCCTCACATGATCAAATGACCATGTGGGTGGTTATAACCCAGGCAGGCCTCAGCACCTCTTTCATCCCATCAAGCTTAGTATTTCATTATATAGCAGTTAGCAACACAGAGAGTTTCCTTCTTATGCAGCTTGCATTCACTTCCTAACATAATACTAAGCTTCATTCTACTCCTTCTACTCAGAATTGAGTAGAACCTGCTCAGTGAGAATCTGACAGCACAACATACAACAGCAACTCATCTCCCTTACTACTCACCAGAGAGACCCAGACCAGGATGGTCATCTCAGACTTCCAGCCCTCTGAAAAGACCAAGAGAGACTGATGATATGTTCTAACTAGGCCAACTGATCAATCACAGGTCTCACTTGAAGAATTTAGACAGATGATTCACTCAGACAAGGATCATGTCTACAAAGAGTTAGCAGTAATCTTTGACAGCATCTTTAATGATGAAAAAATGTTGAGAGATACAATCACACATCTGAAGATGGAATGGAACAATGTCACTGACCAGATCACTGTCAAGCAAAGTCAGATTGATGAGCTAATTGCTGAATGTGATGAACTTAATCACATTCTGATCTGCATGACAGTCAGCAATCAAGTAGCAAGTTGAGATGTTACCCTCTCTGAGACTATCTGAAGGTCTGTCAAGATTGATGACTCAAAACACCTCACTGACAGCAAGGAGCCAAAATTTGAACACTGGCTCTCTCAGATGAAGAACAAGCTCTGAGAGAATGCTGATCACTACTCTACTGAACACATGAGAATTGCATACATTGAAAATCAGACTGATGAGGACACAGCACATCACATTGTGTCCTGTATGGAAGAGAACCATCTCAAGCAATATCAGACTGCAGAAGAGATATTTGAGCATCTCAAGTCAATATATGAGGATGCTAACAAGCTGCAAAATGTCAAGAGTGATTATCACAAGCTGATTATGTGCAATGAGAACAATTATCATGAATTTGTCACAAAATTCTTACATCTGGCAGATGAGGTCAAGATTGTCAAAGAGAACTATAAGACAGACTTCAATGACAAGCTGTTCTTTGACCTTCAGAGGATGATGACAGTAGTCAATGCAATCATCAATATATATGCTGAGTTTTAGAAGATCTGTGCTCAGGCAGCTCACATTCTTCAGACAATCAATGTCATTCAGAAGTCAAAGAGCTTGTGAGAAAATGAATCTAATATCTTCAAGCAAAACATCTCACAGGTCTCTGACAGTCAAACTTCCCACAGCACCTCAGCCACAAAATTCTCTATCATAAAGAAAGCCTTGAGTGCTCATTCAGATATTCAGTGCTACTACTGCAAGGAGAAAGATCACATTGTCAGAAACTGCCCTGTGAAGCAGAAGTCTCAACAGGTGATCACTGAGCTTACAGAGAATGACACTTCTGAGCCTTCAGCAGATTTGAGAAAAGAGTGAGCCTGAGAGAAGACTTCACCTCAGGTAGTTCAATAGTCTGTGAGAGGTTTGAGATGAAGAACTTGATTGAGGGAAAGAGCTTTAATGTCTCAATTAAGTTAGCTCACAATGGAATTGCTACTTCTACAAATTCTCTCACTGATACTGAAGCAAATGATGTGAATTTTATTGATACCTGATACACTATAGAATTGGTGAGATTCTTCAATAGGAAGTTTCAGGAACTCCCATTCAAATGCTGCATGAAGGGATACAATGATGCCTCTGACAGGGTGATAGACCACACATTGACTCTAAACCTCTGAGTGAATGGCTGGAGATTCCGGAATGTTCCCCTGCTGGTGACAGACCTAGACCAGTACCCTGTCATCCTGGGATGAAAGTGGTTGGCAGCATAGAATATATGGCTAAATAGTGTCCCAATCAATACTGAAGCATTCAGACTCTAAGCCTGAGCATCAGACAGATGCAAAATGAAGAGAGATCAAACTGGACAAGAAGATCAGACAGGAGCATCAGACTCAGCTTTGCAGATTGAAAGAGACCAGCTCAGTCATGACATCTAAGACAAGGCAGGGACTGACCTGGGAGGAGACAGCATCACAGATGATGGATATGAACTTCATTGAGACTGCTTCTTTCCACAGTTATATGAAGAACAAGAACTTGACAGTCTTCATAACCAGTCTGTATGAAATTGATAAACAGCTTGAGAAGAAGTGAAGTTTAGTGAGAGCTGAGGAGAAGTCTGATGAGAAGCTGATCAGCAACTTATCAGAATGATTGAAAGGTCAGGAGGACTGTTTCTCAAAGAAAGCATCAGATGAATTACCTCCTCTACAGAAGAATGTTGATTTTAAGATAGAGCTTCAGTCTGACACTGATCTCATTCAGGACATTGGACATGCACCTCTATATAAGATGAATCTGGAGGAACTAGAAGCAGTAAAGATCTACCTTGAAATCAACCTAGCAAAGAGCTTTGTCATTTCAAGTTCAGTCCCCTACACCTTCTCAATCCTGATTGCTCATAGTGAGAAGAAGCTATGATTCTGCATTGACTTTCACAAGCTGAATGCTATGACCAAATGAGATCAGTATCTCTTGCCTCTAATAGATGAGCTGATGAACTGACTCAATGAGACAAAATACTTTACAAAGCTGGACATTCAGCAGGGGTTCTATCACATTCAAATGGACTCTAAGTCAGAGGATCTGACCACCTTTAGAACCTGCTACAGAATCTATAAATACCAGGTGGTCTCCTTTGGCCTTACAAATGCCCCTGCCTGCTTTCAACAGTTTGTCAACAGTATCTTCTTTGACTACCTGGACAAGTTCATGACAGCATTCATGGATGACCTTCTAATCTACAGCAGGACTCTTGAAGAACACAAGCAGCAAGTGAACCTGATACTGAACTGATTAAAGACAGCAGACTTGCAAGCTAGCATCTGAAAATGCAAGTTTGCTGTTCAGAGAACAAGATATCTGAGATTTATCATTATCACAGAGGGGATTGAGACAGACTCTGAGAAGACTGCTGTCATCACAAAGTGGCAGATCTCAATCACAGTAAAAGATGTTCAATCATTTCTAGAATTTAGCAACTTCTATCAGCAATTTATAAGGAACTATAGCTGAATTGCAAAATCACTATATCAGTTGACAAAGAAGACAGTTCCATTTGTGTGGACATCAGAATGTCAATCAGTCTTTGAGAAACTGAAGAAGCAGCTGGTGAAGACTCCAACTCTACATTACTTTGACTCTGAATGTGAAATCTGCATTGAGACTGATGTCTCAAATGAAGTGATGACTGAAATACTGAGTCAAAGATTGAATGATAATCTTTGACACTCTGTGATCTTCTACTTCAAGTCAATGAATGATGCAGAGCTCAACTATGAGATTCATGACAAGGAAATGCTTGCAGTCATTCAAGCATTGCAGAAGTGATGAGCTGAGCTTGAGAGACTACAATAGAAAGAACAATTCAAGGTTCTCACTGATCATCATGCACTGAAATACTTCATGACAATCAAGAAGCTGAATGCATGTCAGACTCACTGAGCAGAATTCCTTTCTCATTTCTATTTTGAGATTAAGTATCAATCAGATAAGGCCAATCTGCTAGCTGACATGCTGAGCAGACCTGAGCAGGTTAAGAAGCAACAGAACAGCTGTATGCAGATTCTTCTAGAATCAGAGATTCTTGATTCCCAGATCACTTTCTCTATGAATATTGCTGACATCAACTTCTCAGAGAAAGAGAATATTGCTGAATGCATAGTGTCTTTAAATAAGACAGTCATCTCAATTGAGCCTTTGCAGCAGCAAGTAGAAGAGGAGAATAGCCTCTATACAATAGAGGATAATATGTTGCTCTACCATGGAAGATTGATAGTGTCTGTTCAGAAAGAAACTCTTATAGCTGCTTTACTAAAGGAAATTCATGATCAGACCTCAACAGCACACCCAGAGAGATGGAAGACTCTGGCTCTGGTTCACCCCTGCTATTGATGGACCACCTGATGAGCAGATGTCTTATGCTATGTTCAGAACTGTCATACATGCTGAGTTAGTAAGATCTCAAGGGACAAAGCTCTCAGCCTGCTAGAGTCACTATCAATACCAGAACAGGCATGGCAGCATATCACAATGAACTTCATGAATGTGTCAAAGAGCAAAAGTGGCTGTGATGTCATTCTAGTTATAGTCTGTCAATTAAGCAAGAAGACAATTTCAGTTTCTATCATCTGTGAAGTTACAGCCTGGGAGCTGACTTGATTATTCATTCAATTCTACTATTTCTATAATGGAGCACCAGACTCAATTGTCTCTGACCACAGTCCTCAGTTCATATTGAACTTCTGAGATGAGTTCACAGAAATTCTAGGCATAAAGTTGAAACTCTCAACAGCACATCACACACAGACAGATAAGCAGACAGAGACAACAAATCAGTATATTGCCATGCACCTTCACTCATATGTTAATTACTATCAAAATGACTGAGATGAGTGATTACTCATTATAGATCATGCTTCTGCAGTCATCTCAAACATCTTCACTGGAATCTCCCCCTTTCTAGCTGCAAATGAATATGAGTCATGAACATCATTTGACTGGAGACCCCTGCCAAGAGAACTAAGAACAGAGAAGAGAACAAATCAAAGAACTGCTCAAAACTTTATTAAACAGATGAAAGAGATCTGAAAGTGAGCAGGCAAGGGCATGAAGACAGCACAGGAACAGATGAAGAGACAGACTGACAGACATCATCAGAAACCTGACTTCACAGTGAGAGATTTTGTCTACTTGACATTGAAATCATACAGAATTGACTGATCAAGCCATAAGCTGACAGCACAGAACACAGGCCCCTTCAGAATCCTAGAGAGGGTGAACAACACCTATAGACTGGACCTCCCCACAATCATGAAAATTCATTCAATCTTCTCCTCAGACAAGCTGTGCAAAGATTCAAGAGACCTCCTACCAGGGCAGACTGTCAAACCACCAGATTCAATTGAGATAGATGGAGAAAATGAATGGAAAGTGGAGCATATATTAGTCAGTCAAATAAATTGAGGCAAACTGCAATATCAAGTCCACTGAAAGGAATTTGATGAGGACTCATCTTGATACCCAGCTCATGACTTCAAAGAATCACCACACACCATATGTGACTTTCATGAAGCTAACTCTACAAAAGCTGGACCCTCAAGGTGACTAGATGAGTGGCTGAAGGCATGGGAGACAGACAGCTACCTGAAGGATGAGGTTGATGATGACCTACCAGCATGAGGACATGCCTGTCCCTAGACCAGGGGGTGATGTTAGGCTCAGCGCCCGACCAAGCCTGACTGAGGCTCAGTGCCCGGTTAGACTCGATGTTAGATTAAGCTTGGCGCCCAGTTAGGCCAAATATCCTCACGTGATCAAATGACCATGCGGGTGGTTATAACCCAGGCAGGCCCCAGCACCTCTTTCATCCCATCAAGCTTAGTATTTCGTTATATAGCAGTTAGCAATGCAGAGAGTTTCCTTCTTATGCAGCTCGCATTCGCTCCCTAACAAAAAGCTTATATACTTTTTTACTAATCTAGCTTTCATATGTATCAACATCAAATATAAATTGTAAATTTTGATAAAATAATTTATTGATAAATAAGCTTTGAATTTGATTACTTATGGAGTAAATCATTATGAACCTTCATATTGAATTTAAAAAGTTGCTGATAGAGCTTCTCACAGAAGCTTATATGAGTAGAAAGCTGTGAGGACACTAATGTGGATGAACTAAGTGTCAAAAGGAAGCGTGAGAAGCTCTATAACTAAAATTGTAAGAGGGTAGGTGTATAGGCACTGGGAGCATTATAAAGGAAAGAGGATAGTGATGGATGAAATGTATGTGTAGGATTGAATAGTAGCAAACCACTGAATCTTTCAAAGAAACTTTGGAGATTCAAGGTATTTATATACATAAATAAGTAGCAATAAATTTTATCTCTAATCTTCTATGAAATGGGGAATTAGCAATGCAGTGATCTGAATTTTCATGAAGTGCTGATCCTATCCTCCAGGAAGTGCTAATGTTAAAGGACTGATTTTTGAGAAGTGCTGATCTATGCTGATCTTGAATGCTGAATTTTGAGATAATACTGATCCTATAGTAGGTGCTGATCCTAAAGTGCTTTGATAAATAGTATGAAGATAAGTGCTTTAGTAAGTGAGTGTGAGAATCTAGAGAATCTAATTCTAAAGTGCTTTGATAAGCAGTATGGTAAGCAGTGTGAGGACAAGAAGCTAGTATAGAGAGTCTTGACATCACAAAAGCCTAGAGACACTCTGCTGCTTTATATATATATACTAAAGTCTTTACATATTGACAACAACAGCATTTAGAATTCAATAGAAAATAGATAATCAGATTTAATAGTTAAATTTATAAGAGTCATAGAAAGCTCTATACTGATTTACTAGATCAACTTCATTTATACTATAATTATAGTCATTAATAATCTTTAAAATTTAAAGATTTTTTTTAAAATTAATTTTCAAAGACTAAATGAACTATATAAGCATTTATAGAGAGCTCTCTAAACTATCTTCAAAATTATTCAATAAATATATTTAAAGAATGAATAGTAGTAAGAGTATAAGAGGCTGAACCTCTAGATTCACTCTGGCTGGCTGACTCAGCCTAGCCATCATTTGCACATGCACACGTGATCATGCTGCATGTGCGCACGTGATCATACTATGTGAGCTTGCTTAAGCTCATGTTCTTATCTCATTCTTTTCTTCCCTTTCTCAAGCAATTCATTCTTGTTATATAGGAGGACTAGCCTTTAGTTCTTAGAGCTTAATCCTCTACATTATGAATTGTTTCACTTCTTTCATTGATAGGCCACTGGAAGTCTTAATTCTGTATTATAAAGCTCAGCAAACATACTGACATATGATAGACTATTGAGAGTCTTAAATTCTGCATCATAAAGTTCAGTGATAGCACTGATATATGAATAGACTGGGTTAGCAATCATGCTAACAAACAAATGAGCATCATTGAAAATGTCTAGCTGAATAAGATAAAGTGACAGACTTGTACAATGAATACATAAATGAATCAACACAAAGTAATGAGCAGGGACACCTTCAGCAGCTTTGAACAACAATGGATGATCTTTCTTCAACAGCAGAAACAGGTCCAGTGT